GCTCCAACTCAAGCGACTTCGGAGAAGCTGGTGGCACCTCGGTATGAGCAACCTCGGCAGTAATCATTTCGGTCCCTGCTATGATTGGTTCCGGATCCGCTTGGTTAATCGCTGCAGCCTCCACTACCGACAACACTTCGGTAGTCGTCACGTCTGGCACAGACTTCGGGCTTTCAGGCATGGAAGCCGAAGTGGCACTCGACCCCACCTCGGTCGACTTCTTCCCAGTGTTCTTTTGACCGGCTGTCTTCTTCACCAACGCACGAACAAGATCCCTCCTCATGGCGTCGTTCAGTCTTAAATCCCGGCTCTTACCAACTTTGGATTGAAGGTCTCTGTTCGGAAATTTATGCCTAAACTCCTTGGCTTCCTTGACAGAGTTGTAGCCCAGAAAACTGAGGAGAGGATAATACACTGCATATCGACAAAGAACGAATTAAGATACAAAACCGCTATTCATCGCATATGAAAAACTCGACAAAATCGTTACTGGTTAAAATTCTCTTACCGGGGTCAAACTTCGATGTGATAACCCCCAGAGACAAACCAGCCGCTTCAAGTTTCGAGTCTATTAAAAGCTTGCGATAATCCCTGTCTGCTTTATCCAAACCGGCCAAAGTTATCAACTTCCCACCGAATTCCGGACTTAACTTCGGTTCTTTTTGCTTCGTCTCTTTTTCTACACAGAGTAAAAGTTCCGACCTGTTAGTACACAGAACAATACCAAAATCAGAAAAGTATATCCGAATTGAAAATCAAATAAAACAAACTCACTGGCTCCGGAATGAATTAACATGGGGATTGTCATCCCATCGATTCGGTGCTCGTGAAAGAAGTCCACTGACTGCCACTCCCCACCGATCCATAACCACTCCTCCTGTAAGCCATGGAGACTCTCCGGAATCTCAGTCACTATTTCTCCGACTTTAACGCCGTGTTGCGGTTTCGCCCCGGCAAAGAAGCAACAAGAAGACTCGGCACCCTCCTCTTCGGACTTTGTTTAAACGCAAAGATGCTCCTCATCTCATCGCATGAAGGAAGTCCTTCACCTCTCTCGTGCAACAACACCATCAAATCGATTATCTTTTTCCAACTATTCGGTGTAATCTGGCACAACGGTAACCCCCAACTTCGGAGGTACTCCGTAATTAAGTTTGGCAACGGGAACCTTAACCCCGACCTCAAACTCTCCGCAAAGACTCCCACGCAACCCGGAGGTGGACTTGTTATTCTCTAAGGAGCAAAAATTTTTACCGAGGGAGGGATCCGAACCTGTTCTCTCAGCACGACATCGGCGTCGGTAAGGATACTCGGTTCGCCGATGAAATCAATCGCAGGATCGGTCCACTTCCTCACCGGTCTTCTCCAATGAGGCACCACGAGGTCGGTTGCGTTGTGTTCCACTACCAAATCACCGTCCTCATCGTTCAACTTGATATTTAGATGTCTTACCAACGACGGGTCCCACCGGTGGTATTCAAAGGCCAACTCGACCAGTTCCGAATCGTGGTAAACATCCAACGGAACCGACTCAGTACTCGATGAACTTGCCACCGCCTTTCCCTTCCCTTTCGGCGCCATCACACAATCGAACAGAATACAAAAGAAATAACGAAAGAAATTGAAGAAAAAGCTTACCGAAAACGTCGCACGCACACAGCAAGCAGGAAATAATCCTCAGAATTTCAGAAGAATGCGACAACCAGTATATAATACGAAAGCTCA